AGGCCATGGAATCCTGGGAGAGCTTAGTCTAGAGACAGCTGCGTGGTGGGGGGTGGGGGGCAGGACTCTGGGCTGGGGTGAGCCCACAGTGAGGCATGGCGGTGACCCCAAAGTGGAAGACGGAAGCAGAACTAGTTCTTGCAAGGTCACAAGGACTAACACAAAGACTGGTACGAACATGCTGTGAATCCCCCGCCCCCTCCGCTCTTTGTGACCTTCTGTCCCTGCGACTGGACCTCCCCTTATCTTGTCACGCCAGAGGCCTGGGCTGCTACTGAGAGAATCGAATTGCACGACCTCCTCCAAGAAAGCCCCAGTGCCAGGAGAGGCTGTCTCTCCCCCACAGGGTCAGGAGGGATTCTATGCACAAGTGTTTTTCCACGACTGAAATGTATCACCCCTTTAAATACTGAAGTCCATCATTTGCTCCCACTTTTAGCCACTTTTAAACCATATCTCCTGTTTGTGAGCCTTCTTTTATTTAAAAAAAAAAAAAAATGCTGTTCTTGGGACCAGCAGTTAACGTAATGGCTATGTTGCTGAACTCCCATGTAGTCGATCACAGTATGAGTCCCGGACCCGGTGGCTTAAACTCACACCGGGCGTGTGTGCGTGCGTGCCCAAGATCCCGAGAGGAGAATGGAGGAAAAGGGATTGCGGTGTGGCCATCCCCCCGGGGGGTGATTTCTCGCTGTCTGTCCCTGTCTTTCCGGCGAGTGCATGCGCCCTATAGCAAAAACCTCTCCAAAAAAAGATATTATGAGCTCAAGCTTCACAGAGGCATTTTTTTAAAAGAATTATTTATTTACTTATTTATTCATTTATTTATTTCAATTTGACTCAGGAGAGACAGAGTGAGAGAGAGAGAGAAAGAGAGAAAGCAAGCCACCAAGTCTGGGACTCAAAGCTTGGCTGGCCATGTGGGAATCCAGCACTTTCAAACACCATGCCACCTGCCTGCCCCCACGGAGACATGTTTTAAGAAGTTATCAGGAAAAAATTTCTCAGTGCAGAGGCTCTTTAAATTACTCCCCTCCTCTCCCCATCCCAGAGGGCATGTGTACACGCATGAGAGAGACAGAGAGAGAGAATGAGGAACACACCTCGCAGGACCTGGTCACACTGCCATTTCTTTTCCTTTTTATTCTCTCTTTTGGGGATGCTGAGTATACATACAATTGTGCCCAGCATGTAAACTGCAGGGGCCAGCACCTGAGCCCTGGGTGGGGCATAGGGGATCTGGCTTCTTCTGCATAGCGCTTAACCACTGCACCACAGAACAGCCCCCAAAATCTTTTAATACAATCTATTCTCTAATAATAACTAAAGACATGTCCCTGCCACCAGGCTCTACCCGCAGTCAGGCACCACAAGCCATGCCGCCCTGTCCACAGGGGAGGGCATGGGGTGTGGTCCTCAATGAACACACATTGGACGGCAGGAGGAAAAGAGAGGTGGTGGCACGCGGGGACCCCGACAAGGTGCACGAGGTTTTAAAGAGAAACTGCGCTGTAGACGGGTTAACTGATAGTAACTTCACCGGAGAAGTTACTGGTGAGGGGGATGGGAAGAAGATCTAATTTACAGAGCTCCTGGCCGCACTAAGCAAGGCTGAGCCTGTCGTCCCATGCACAGGTGGCCTTCCTAGACTTGCCGGGCTGGAATCCTGCTGGCAGGCGAAGCCGGGAGGAGGGTGGCTCGAAGTAGGGGATGCACAGCCAGGAGAGCCCTGCAGGCCGCAGTCCTGCCCCGGCCCCGGGGGCGGCCCCCCTGTGTCCGGGCCGGGCGAGGGGTTAATGCTATGACCCGGGAGGCCTGGCGGGCCGGTGGGGTGCGGCCGGGGCTCAGTGCGGCGGGTGGCGCCGCTCGGCCAGGCCCCCGCGGCCCAGCACCTCGCCGCTGAACTGGTAGGTGAGCTTCTTCTTGACCTTCTTCACCTCGCCCGTCTTGCCATAGTTGCGCAGCGCGCGCGCCATCTTCTGGTAGGTCATCTTCTTGCGGTTGCCCTTCTGGATGCCCCAGCGGTGCGCCAGCGCCTCCTTGTGCTTGGACGAGAACTGGAAGGTGCCCTTGTCCTTGTCCACCCACCAGATGCTGTCCTTCATGTCGCCGCTGCGGAGCAGGTCGAGCAAGAACTGGTACAGGCGGATCTTCTTCTTGCTGCCTGTGGGGTGAGGGGTCAGGTGGGGCTGCGAGATGGAGGAGCCAAGGCCCGCCCGCTGCATCCCCGGACCCCCTTCTGCGCAGCTGAACCGTCTACAGGGGAAGGCACACACCCGCGCACACACGTCTGCACCCACTCACATCTGCTCACACACTCCACACGTCATAGCCGGTAACATGCACCTCACAACATCCACACGCTCACACTCACACCTGCCCACCACACCTGCTTACGCATGCACACGTGCACGCCCCTCACGCATCCCCATGCCTGCTCGCAGATGCTCACACCCACACACCTGCTTACATGTGCACGCCCTCATGCAAGCCCATGCCCGCTCTCACACACTCACCTGCTCATAGATGCTCACATACCCACACCTGCTCACACTCACACCCATATCATTCACATCCCCTTTTATACATGCAAATACCGACTCACACCCCCAAACTCACAAACACACACCTTTGCACACTGTGGACAGAGATGTCCATGTGCACTCACACACATGCACAAGCACTCAGAGATCCACACATGTACAGGTAGAGACAGCCGCAGATGTTCCCAAGAAACACACGCGTACTAACACACAACGGTCGGCCTTGGCTGGCTGTACATGGGCCATGTGGGTGAGGGTGGCCCACCTGTTTCCCCGTGCAGCCCAGGCCCCGGCTCCAGGCCATCGGCTTCCCCGTCAGACACCTCCAGTGGGGGGCTCTGCCGCTCGCCCTCCTCCTCATCCGAGCTGCGCTGGGCCGGGGACGGGTATGGGAGGACCATCCGAGGCAGGTAGGAGACCTGGAAAGGTGGGGACGGGGAGAGGCCACTAAGGGTCCACTTGAAGTACAGGGCCACCAATCGGGGTCAGCGAGTGAGGGCAGAGGAGCTGGGGGACCGCGGGGACAAGCGGAGATAGCAAGTGGCAAAGGCTGTGTGGCAGGTCCTGGGGCCAGGGAGGGGTGCTTCTGAAGGTGTGGTGGGGGGGACCAACAACGGCCCCAGAGGGGGAGGAAGGAGTGCTGAGGGGCCAGCGAGCAGGTACAGGAAGGCTTGGGGCTAGGTGACGTATTATAACAGATAAAGAGGTGATAAGAGAGGGAGGGGAAGTGGAGGTCAGTGGGGGTCTGCAGAGATCCATGGAGACCCCGAGGGGGCTGGGGTCCCTGGGCTGAGCAGGGCCAGTAAGGGGGCCGGTAGGTAGAGAGAGGGCCCAGCGGCGGTCAGCAGAGGTCAGCGTTCAGGCAATGGGATGCTGAGCCTCCCAGGGACCGTAAACAGGATCGCCATCAGTGAGGCCAAGGAAGGCCCACAACAAGGCACTGGGGTGCGGAGGACCCATGGAGGGGGTGGGCATTATCTGGGGTCTGTCCATCAAGAGGAGATAAAGGGCGTGAGGTCACAAGGTCAGCCGGGGGGTCAGGCGCAGCCGTTGGGGCTCCGGCCGCCGTTGGCGCTGTGGGGCAGGAAGCCGAGTTGAGAAAGAGCCTGTGTCAGCTTCCTGTGAAGCTCCGGGCCTCACCACAGGCCGGGCTGCTCCTGGAGGACGGACACGCACCTGGTGGCCCAGGCTGGCATGGGGCGGCGCCATGGGGGTGTCGAGGACGTGCATCTGCTCCAGCTCCATGTGGCGGTACAGCTGCTGCAGCTGGGGGGGCTGCACGCTCTGCAGCTCCGTGAAGTGGTTCTCGGCGAAGCTCTCAAACTCGCTGTGCACGTGGTGCGGGTGGAAGTCCCAGTAATGGTCTGCAAGGGACGACCAGGATGTGTGGGGTGAGCCAGCGGGCAGGGCCGGGAAAGGTTATGATAACGTAAAGTAAGAACGCAGGGGGACCAGCAGCTGGCATAATCGCTATGTTGCTGGACTCCCATGTAGTCAACCGTGGTTCGAGTCCCGGACCCGGTGGCTTAAACTCACGCCAGGTGTGTGTGTGCGTGCCCAAGATCCCAAGAGGAGAATGGAGGAGAAGGGATTGTGGTGTGGCCATCTCCACTGGGAGGTGATTTCTCGTTTTCTGTCTCTCTCTGTCTTTCTGGCAAGCACATGCCATGTGGCTGAGTTTCCATTCATCATCTCGTTTAGCGATTTCCCCATGCTGATGTGGCCCTGTTCACAAGAGGACACTGAGGCTTGGAGTGGCTCTATAACATGTCCTAAGTCAAAGGCCTTGCAGGGCAGAGCTGGGACCTGTTGTGAAGCCAGGCCCGTGTTCGCAGCCAACCTATCTTGCTTCCCATTTGGTCACAGGGACCGGGAACCTGAACCTGAACTCTGCCTTTTACTTGCTGTGTGACCTCAGGCACATGTGTGGGCCCCTCTGGCCTCAATGGACTCACCTGTCAAATGGGGTTACTATTTGTCAGAGGTTGCAAGTGAGTTCGCATTTGTAAAGACACTCAGCGGGGATGGAGGGGCAGCAGGTGGCATAATGATTAAGGCACTGGACACTCCCACGTGGCCGACCATGGTTCGGGTCCTGGACCTGGTGGCTTCCTTTCTTATTTTCCCCTCTCTCGCTCTCTCTCTGGTCAAATTAAATAAATAACTCTTTAAAAAAAAAAAAAAAAGACTCTAGGCGCTGAAGAAACGGGGATTCATGCACATGGCCTTGTCACATGGCCAAGGTGTGACGGCAAAGTCACAGGGCCTAAGGGCCGACAGTCCTCACACAGCAGCACTTGTGCGGGCTCAGTGCAGCCTCCTCACAGCCTGGCCTAGGGCGGCTCCTCCTGGGTCCCAGTCTCTGGAACAGACTTTCTTGGAAACCCCCACCGTGGGCGCCTTCAGTCTGCGGTGGGCGTACTTAGGTCTGGGGCCAGCCCCATGCCACAGAGAACCCTGTCTTGGGACCAGGGAAGCTCTTTGGCAAGGTTTCTCTGGGTCCCTTTTCCAGGAACAAAAACTACCACATGTCTGAGGGACTTCCTGGGCACCCCCTTCGGAGTGCAAAAGAAAGCGTGGTGTTAAAGTGACAAGAGGGGTTTTCTCGTGTGACCCGAAGAGAAGACACCAGGCCAGGGCAGTGGCTCTGGGACAAGTCAACCCCCCACTGCACACGGAACACGTGTGTGCACCTGTGTCTGCCTGCCTCTCTCTCTCCCTCACACACAATGGTCTGCAAGGGACGACCAGGATGTGTGGGGTGAGCCAGCGGGCAGGGCCGGGAAAGGTTATGATAACGTAAAGTAAGAACGCAGGGGGACCAGCAGCTGGCATAATCGCTATGTTGCTGGACTCCCATGTAGTCAACCGTGGTTCGAGTCCCGGACCCGGTGGCTTAAACTCACGCCAGGTGTGTGTGTGCGTGCCCAAGATCCCAAGAGGAGAATGGAGGAGAAGGGATTGTGGTGTGGCCATCTCCACTGGGAGGTGATTTCTCGTTTTCTGTCTCTCTCTGTCTTTCTGGCAAGCACATGCCATGTGGCTGAGTTTCCATTCATCATCTCGTTTAGCGATTTCCCCATGCTGATGTGGCCCTGTTCACAAGAGGACACTGAGGCTTGGAGTGGCTCTATAACATGTCCTAAGTCAAAGGCCTTGCAGGGCAGAGCTGGGACCTGTTGTGAAGCCAGGCCCGTGTTCGCAGCCAACCTATCTTGCTTCCCATTTGGTCACAGGGACCGGGAACCTGAACCTGAACTCTGCCTTTTACTTGCTGTGTGACCTCAGGCACATGTGTGGGCCCCTCTGGCCTCAATGGACTCACCTGTCAAATGGGGTTACTATTTGTCAGAGGTTGCAAGTGAGTTCGCATTTGTAAAGACACTCAGCGGGGATGGAGGGGCAGCAGGTGGCATAATGATTAAGGCACTGGACACTCCCACGTGGCCGACCATGGTTCGGGTCCTGGACCTGGTGGCTTCCTTTCTTATTTTCCCCTCTCTCGCTCTCTCTCTGGTCAAATTAAATAAATAACTCTTTAAAAAAAAAAAAAAAAAGACTCTCAGCGCTGAAGGAACGTGGATTCCACTCCCCCACCCCCCTCCTTCAGGTTCCTGCCTTCCTGGCTGCCCACAGCCACATGCACATGGCCTTGTCACATGGCCAAGGTGTGACGGCAAAGTCACAGGGCCTAAGGGCCGACAGTCCTCACACAGCAGCACTTGTGCGGGCTCAGTGCAGCCTCCTCACAGCCTGGCCTAGGGCGGCTCCTCCTGGGTCCCAGTCTCTGGAACAGACTTTCTTGGAAACCCCCACCGTGGGCGCCTTCAGTCTGCGGTGGGCGGACTTAGGTCTGGGGACAGCCACATGCCACAGAGAACCCTGTCTTGGGACCAGGGAAGCTCTTTGGCAAGGTTTCTCTGGGTCCCTTTTCCAGGAACAAAAACTACCACATGTCTGAGGGACTTCCTGGGCACCCCCTTCGGAGTGCAAAAGAAAGCGTGGTGTTAAAGTGACAAGAGGGGTTTTCTCGTGTGACCCGAAGAGAAGACACCAGGCCAGGGCAGTGGCTCTGGGACAAGTCAACCCCCCACTGCACACGGAACACGTGTGTGCACCTGTGTCTGCCTGCCTCTCTCTCTCCCTCACACAAACACACTCGCTCACACCCCCCTGAGAAATGACATGCCAGCAAGATCAGGACTCAGTGTCCAAGGGCTCGCTTTCCAGTCCTGCTCAGTGGTGGCTTTGCCGTGTGACTCTGGGCAGGCTGTCGCACCTCTCTACGCCTCAGTTTTCTCATCTGTTAAATGGAGCCAATAATTACGTCCATCTCAAAGGCTTGTTGTGAGGACTAAATGAAGTAATGCCTGCAAACTGCTCAGAGTGGAGCCTGGCGCTCTTAGGAAGACTCGGTAAGCAGTAATTATTAGTCAGTACCATTATTAATTTATAGTCTTCCCTTGGTATCTAGGGGTCCCACATCTGTGGACTCAACCAACCACAGATCAAAAAAAAAAAAAATTTAGAGACCAGCAGGTGGCACAATAGTTACATCACTGGACTCTCACATAGTCAACTGTGGTTCGAGTCCTGGACCAGGTGGGTTCAAACTCAGGCTGGGCACATGTGCGTGCGTGCATGCCCAAAATCCTGAAAGGGGAGAATGGAGGAGAAGGAATTGCAGTATGATCATCCTCCCTGGGGGTGATTTCTTGTTTTCTGTCTCTCTGTCTCTCTGGCAAGCACATCACTCTATAGCAAAAAAGAAAAAAAAATTTAATGAAAAATAACAATAATGATACAATAGAAAATAATACAAATAAAAAATACAACATAACATCGACATCGCATTAAGTATCACCAGTACATCTAGAGAGGATTTAAAGTATTTGGGAGGATACAGACAGGTAATATGCAAACACTACACTATTTTTTTAAATATAGGTTTTTGCTATAGGGTAAGAGCAGTCACCAGAGAGAGGCAGAAAGAGAGGGAAAAAGTGAGAAATCACTCACCTCCCCAGGAGTGATGGCCACCCCACAATCCCTTCTTCCCTGTTCTCCTCTTGGGATTTTGGGCATGCATACCCAAGTCTGGGACTTGAACCATGGTCGGCCATGGTTAAGGAGACTCTCAAGATTTGGGAGCCCAGCATCTTACCCACCACGCCACCCACTGGCCCTAGTTATGCCCTGTTATATAAGTGTCTTGAGTATCTGCAGATTCTGGCATCTGCCGATCAGTTCCAGAATCGTGCACCCCTTGCAGATACCAGGGCCTGGGTATATTTTATTCTCACAAGCCTGGATTAACACTTGAGCACTATTTTTTTTTTTTTTAGAGTTTTTTGCTATAGGGCGCATGTGCTCACCAGAAAGACACAGAGAGACAGAGAGACAGAAAGCAAGAAATCACCCCCCAGAGGGGATGGTCCCATCATAATCCCTTCTCCTTCATTCTCCTCTCAGGATCTTGGGCACGCATGCACATATGCCCAGTGTGAGTTTAAGCCACTGGGGTCCAGGACTCGAACCGCCATCGACTACATGGGAGTCCAGCAACATAGCCATCATGCCATCTGCTGGTCCCCATACTGTACACTTTTAATACATGTTTATTTCTTCTTTTTCTCCCTGCTCCCTGCCATGGCAGTGGCCCAGACAAATAGTTTAGGAGGCCTGGCTGTCACTGTCTCTCAGAGGCTGCAGTTGGGGCCCTGACTGTGCATGAAGGCAGGGACTGCTCTGGCTCACCTGTGTCTTCTCAGTGTCCAAATACACTAGCCACTCCACACACACTTCCTGAACAAATGCATGAACGAATGAACCCCAGCCTCTGAAGAACGCCCTCTGACTCTCCTCCACAAAGTTCTTGAAGCCTGGAGGGAAAATCCTGCCTAAAGCTTTGTACTTGCATCTCACAGTGAGTGAATGCGATTCAGAAACTCTCCACTTGCCGTGGGTTTGCTCTGTCCTGCGGGAGGGAGGATGTCCCAGGATTCTGTGAGTGGTTCCGGCTCCTCTTTAGCTGTAGCTCACCCTTTGGCCCCACTCCTGGTCCTTCCCATTTTGCCTTCCTCTGCCCAAGTCAAATGCCCAGAACTTTGTAAAGTGCCTATGGATCCTGCCTCCCAACCCCCATCCCCAAATCCACTCTAGCTCCAGTGTTTGGGGGACCCTGAATGTTTGTAAGGAGGGGCGCCCAGCTGCCCTCCTCTTCTCTCCATCCCTGCCCCTGTTCTAGCCCCACATCAGACCCAGGAGCTCACTGGTGGTCCTGCCCGAGGTCCCTTCCCACAACTGATCTTGGTTCATCTGCATTGGTCCCATGGGAGGCTGGAAAAGCCTGCGGGTTTGGGGCGCCATTAGAGACCCACTAACTCAGAAGCACTATGAGGGTAGGAGTCAGAAGGACCCTGGAACTTCCCACACTGAGACTCTGGAACCCCACCCTGGAACCCCACCCTGGGGTCCCCTGAAGGCTGCAGCAGAGACTCCTGAGCTACAATGAAGGTTTCAAAAGGTCCAACGGAAACTTGGCCTTTACCCTTGATTTGGGACTCAGGCAGTTATGTAATAAACGCGGTCTGGCAGCAAGAGCGTTCCAAATATGGGGCCCCTGAGAGAACTCGGTACAAGGAGTCCTCTCAGTGCAGAGGTCAGCCATGCGGGCGCTCCGGACCTCACCCCAGATGACTTTGTGAGCACACTGTGTTAGCTCTTTGTTCCCCCTTTGCTGGGCCACCCAGGCCATACACCCAAGGGCCACCCTGGGTCTCAGTGCGACTCTCGGGTCCTCAAAAAAAATATGGTGTTATTTACAAATCTGGGGGTAACTCCAGAGCCTGTCTTTTAGGTACCCAACACATGGTAGGCCTCAATCAATATTTGATTAGATAGTCCAAAGAAGTTAACTTTTAATGTGCTTCTTATGTACCAGATACTTGCTAAGTGGCTAAGCTACATTATTCTATTTAATCCCCACCTAGCTCTGAGGAAGTGGTGACTACAGTGCGGCCTTTAGTGTCTGAGGATACTGTGACTGAAGTGTAAGTCCTTTCTCCACAGCAGTCACTGGGAGTCACGATGTAAACCCACATGTGTCTGACTTCATCATATCATCTCTGAGGAACAACACTGCTAACGAAAGCATTGAGACCTGTAGTGACGTGAAGAGAGTTTACTGACTGCTCTTACCCATCATCCACTGCCATTCATCCTTCATATACCCTTCACCCACCCATCCACCCATCATTTAACCATCATCTACCCATCTATCCAACCACCATTTAACCATCATCCATCCAACCATCATCCATCTATCCAACCAACCATCATTTAACCATCATTCATCCAACCATCATCCATCTATACAACCAACCATCATTTAACCATTGTCCATTCAATCATCATCCATCTATCCAACCATCATTTAACCATCATCCATTCAACTATCATCCATCCATCCACCCAACCATCATTTAACCATGGTCCATTTAACCAACATCCATCCAAACATTATTTAACCATCATCCATTCAAACGTCATTTGTCTGTCCATCCAACCATCATTTAACCATCACCCAACTATCCATGCAACTATCATTTAACCATCATCCCACCATCATGCATCTATCCATCCAACCATCATTGGTGCACCCATCATCCATCATGTATCCATCCATCCATTCATCATTGAATCATCATCCACCAATGATCAACATCTCTCCAGCCAGCCATCATCTAGCCATCATCCATTCATCCATCATCCATCACTTAGCCAGCTCCATTCATCATTGAAGCACCATCCATTCAACCATCATCCATTGAGCCACAAATGACTCATCCATCTTGCTCTCTCATTTCCTCCCTCTAACCCGCTCTCAGTCTGCGACCAAAGACCTACCCACACATTCCTATACTTCTCAGGTTTTTGGTGTCACTTAAACCTTTGTGTCATCAAGACAAAAATAAAATTATATTCAAAATGTCTCCACACAAAAATTCAAGACTTGATTGCCATTCAATTGACCTTATCTCCTCAGATCAGAAACCCCAACCTAAAGCCCAGGCTCTCCCCAGGAGAGCAAAAGTACAATCAAAAGAGAAGAAAGACCAGGAATCAAGAGAGGAGGAGCCAAGAAGAAAACCTCAGGAAATCTCAGACCACTAGACTAGAAGTTCTGGAGCCCAGGCCTTCCTCAGTATTGCTCAAATGTGGAAACTGAGACCAGAGAACCAAGAGATGCAGGTCTTGTGGCACATGTTACTCTCTACTTTGTATCCAAATTATTGGACTTTTAATTATTTCCTTTGTTACAAGGATGAACCTGTCAGGATCTGTTTCATTCATTCCAAAGCACCCAGCAATGTGACTGGCATATGAGTGATATTTACTATATTATTTATTAGATAAATAGGTCAGTCAGTGTGAGATGGATGGAGTTTTGTTTGTTTGTTTTGTTTTGTTTTGTTTCCTTTAGGTTTTTGTCATAGTGTGTGTGCACTTGCTAAAGAGAGAGCAAGGTAAAGTGAGAAATCACACCCCACACTAGGGAGGGCCATACTGCAATCCCATCTCTTCCATTCTCCTCTTGGGATTTTGGGCATGAACACACATGTGCCTGGCATGATTCTCAAGCCACCAGGTCTGGGGTTTAAACCGTGGTTGTCCATGTGGGAGTCCAGTGCCTTAACCACCATGCCACCTGCTGGTGTGGACGAAAGTTTTTGATCACTAACAGGAAAGACAGTTGGAAATCCTGAGTGGAGGATTAGATGTGTCTACGATTAAATCAGTGGAAGGCTGGCTCCTGGCCTAGTGGTTAAGAGAGGTGGATTCCACATAGCCAATCTGAGTTCAAATTCCAACCCTGGCAGCTTGAAAAACATGCAAATGTGCCTAAAATCCTAATAGGATTTGGAGAAATGGAGAAGGGAATTGCAGCCCTACGGGGGGTGCTTTATCTCTCTGTCTCTCTGGCAAGTGAGGCAATGTTGACAATAGTAACTAAATAAGTAAATTGGTGGATGGGTTAGTGACATGAAAGGATGAAATCATATTTGGAAATCTGGATGGATAGATAGATGGATATAGATGGAGATAGAGTCATACTTTGGAACTCTCATTCCTTCATTAACAAATTCTATCGTACCGATTAAGATGACTAGTATTAAAAAAACAAAATGGGGACCAGCAGGTGCTATGGTGGCTAAGGCACTGGACACTCCCACATGGCTGACCACGATTCAAGTCCCGGACCTGGTGGCTTGCTTTCTTACCTTCCCTCCCTCTCTTTTTCTCTCTGTGTATCTCTCTTTGGTCAAATTAAAATGGATGAATGAATAAATAAAATTAAATAAATAATTCTTTTAAAACAATGGGGCCAGCAGGTGGTATGGTTGTTAAGGCATTGGAGGCCACATGGATGACCCTGGTTTGAGTCCTGGAACTGATGGCTTGCTTTTTCACTTTCTCCCTCTTTCTGTCTGTCTCTCTCTCTCTCTCTGGTGAACACACAATGTTGCCTTGTAACAAAACTTTTAAAATAAATTAATTAATTTAATTTAATTTTTAAAAACTAGGGGCCAGCAAGTAGCATAATGTCTAAGGTGCTGGACTCCCATATGGTTGACCATGGTTCAAGTGCCAGACCCGGCAGCTTGAAAAATCACATCAGGTGCAGGTGTGTGTGTGTGCCCAAAATCCCAGGAGAGAAGAGGAAAAGGGATTGTGGTACCAGCAGATGGTGTAATGGATACGTCATTGGACTCCCACGTAGTCAATCATGGTTCGAGTCCTGGACCCGGTGGCTTAAACTCACACCAGGTGCATGTATGTGCGTGCCCAAGATCCCAAGAGGAAAATGGAGGAAAAGGGATTCCTGGGGGGTGAGTTCTTGCCTTTTATCTCTCTGTCTCTGTCTGTCTTTCTGGCGAGCATACACACACACACACACACACACACACACACATACATACGTACATACATATGCACACACACACACACATACAGGGATGACTCCGTCAGGATCTATGCATACATATGTATATGTATATATATATATTTTTTGAGAGTTTTTTGCTATAGGGTGCATGCGCTTGCCAGGAAGACAGAGAGAGGCAGAGAGACAGAAAGTGAGAAATCACCCCCCAGGGGGGATGGCCACGCCGCAATCCCTTCCCCTCCGTTCTCCTCTCAAGATCCTGGACTTGCACACACACACGTGGCCAAGGTGAGTTTAAGCCACCGGGTCCGGGACTCAAACCATGGTCGACTCCATGGGAGTCCAGTGACATGGCCATTACGCTAACTGCTGGTCCCTGTATATAACTAATTTGTCAGAGGTTGTGTGTGCTCACTGCAGAGACAGAAGGAGAGAAAGTAAGAAAGCACCTCCTGTGGAAGATGGTCACTCCTCAGTCCCTTCTCCATTTCCACCTCCTTTCAGGACTCTGGGCACACACACACGCGCCTGGTGTGTTTCTCAAACTACTGGGTCCGGGATTCGAACCGTGTGGGATTCAATCACCTTAACCACCACACTCCTAGGTAGCCCTCTTATGTGTATTTTACCATAATTAAAGAGAATCATAAAAAGCAACTCGTACGGATCCTACCTGCAAAGCCTATCCTGAATCTGTTCCCTCCTTTTTGCCTCTACTGCTACCACCCTGGTCCAAGCCACCATCTCTTGCCTGCATTCTTCCAGTAGTTTCCTAAGTGTTCTTCCTCCCAGCTCCAGTCCTTGCCTCCTTTCCATTTATTCTCCAACCGGAAGCCAGACTGATCTTTTTTAAAAACAAAAAGAAGAAGAAGAATTATTGGACCAGCAGATGGTGTAATGGTTACGTTGCTGGACTCCCACATGGCCAAGAGCAGTTCGAGTCCTGGGCCCAACAGCTTGAAACACACCAGGCGTGTGTGCATGCATGCCCAAAATCCCAAGAAGAGAATGGAGGAGAAGGGACTGCAGCGTGGCCATCCCCCCAGGGGCTGATTTCTTGTTTTCTGTCTCTCTGTTTCTCCCTGTGTCTCTGACAAGCACACATGCCCTAATAGCAAAAATTTCTCTTAAAAAAAATGTATTAATTTAACTTTGTTTGTTATTATCTTTTAATTTGCTACAGACCATGTGTGCTCACCAGAGAGAGACAGAAAGAGAGGGAGGGAAAGTGAGAAAACAAGCCACCAGGTCCAGGACTCAAACCTCAGTCGACTAAGTAGGAGTCCAGTGCCTTAACCACCACGCCACCTGCTGGACCTCCAGAACAATCCTGATAACCAGAAGACAGTACAGAAATGCTTCCGAGTGTCCAGGGGAAAAATGATGTTCACCCCAGATTTCTGTATACAACCAAACTCCTCTTACTCAGGCGAGAGAGTGGGCTACAGACGAGGTAGAAGACAAAGCCACAACCGCCTTACCGCCCACACTCTCTCCCCTAGGAGACTGCAGTGACGACAGACTCCTACGTGACTCTCACAGCGTGCCAGTACCGTTCTGGACATTTACAGGGAGCAGCTCGCTCAGCGCTCAGAGCAATCCTGTGAGGTGGGTACTGGGACGTCGAGGTCAAAGCACAGAGAGGCCGAACATCTTGCCCCTGTCACCTCAGACAGCAACGGGAGAGAGGAGGAGGGACAAAGCCCAGCAGCCTGGTTCCAGATCAGGGCTCTCTACCTCCTTGCTACACTGTCCCTCAGAACACAGGAATGAGAGAGTCTGGCGGGAGGTGTGGTGGTTAAGAGTGCTGGACTCCCACGTGCCCAGCCATAGTTCAAGTCCTGGACCTGGAAGCTTGCTTTCTTCCTTTCTCTTTTTCTCTCAATTGCTCTCTCCCTTTCTGAACAAATTAAAATAAGTAAAACAATTTTTTTTTTTTTTTTAATTTAGAGAAGGAACACAGGGCTGAGAAAAGCCTCTCTCAATTGTTCTCTCCCTTTCTGAACAAATTAATATAAGTAAAACAATTTTTTTTTTTAAATTTAGAGAAGGAACACAGGGCTGAGAAAAGAACAGATGTTCATCAACTGAAATTGAAACTATTCTGTTGGGCCAGCTGGTGGCATGTGAAGTAAAGAAGCTGGATCCCAGGACCAGCGATGGCATAATGGTTACAACACTGGACTCCCATGTAGTCAACTGCGGTTCAAGTCCTAGACCCAGCGACTTAAAACTCACGCCAGGTACATGTGCATGAGTGCCCAAGGTCCCGAAAGGAAAATAGAGGAGAAGGGATTGTGATGTGGCCATCCCCCCTGGGGGTGATTTCTCACTTTCTGTCTCTCCGTCTCTCTTGAGAGCTCACGTGCCCTATAGCAAAAATCTCTCAAATAAATAAATAAAAGAAGAAGCTGGATCCCACATGGCTGACTGTGATGGTTGAGTTGACTGTGTCTGGACACAGTGGCTCAAAAAACATGCTGGGTACATGTGTGTGCGTGCCCAAAATCTGGAGAGGAGAATGGAGGAGAAAGGATTGCAGTGTGGCCATCCCCCCCAAGGGGTGCCTGTTTCCTCCCTTTTTCCCTTTCTCTGTTTCTTTCTGGTGAGCACACATGCCCTATAGCAAAAATTTAAATTAAAGTGGCCAGCAGGTGGCATGTGGTTAAGGTGCTGGACTTGCACATGGTTGACTGCAGTTTGAGCCCCAGACCCAGCAGCTTGAAACTCACACCGGGTGCATGTGCATGCGTGCCCAAAAGCCTGAGAGGAGAACGCAGGAGATGTGATTGCGGTGTGGCCATCCCTTCTGGGATGTGGTTTCTCATTTTCTCTCTCTCTGGCAAGCGCATACACCCTATAACAAAAATCTCTAGGGAAAAAAAAAGAAAGAAAGAAAGAAAGAAAGAAAATATTGCAAGTCAAAAATTCATTTAATACACCTCACTTACTGGACGTCATAGTTCACTTAGCCCGCCTTAAATGTGCTCGGAATATATGTGCTATCCGACAGCTGAGCAAAATACTCTAAACACAAAGCTTATTTTATAATAAATAAAATATATTTGGGCCAGCAGATGGCATGGTAGTTAAGATGTTGAATCACACATGGCCAACTGTGCAGTTCAAGTCCTGGACCCAGTGGCTTGAAAAACACACTGGGTGTATGTGCATGCGTGCCCAACATTCTGAGAGGAGACTGGAGGAAAAGGGATTGGAGTGTGGCCATCAGGGCTGGGGGGTTCTCCCTTTCCTCTCTCTCTCTCCAGAGAGTACACACGCACTGTAGCAAACAGATAAACAAATTAAAAAACTATTTCACACCTCATGTAGGATTGGCCCTGTGGCCTGGTGGTTAAAGGAGCTAGCTCTCACATAGCTGATCTCAGTTCAAATCCTGACCCCAATGACTTGGAAAACACACGAGGTATGTGTGCATGAGTGCCGCAAACCCTGACGGGCTGGAGAAATGGAGGAAGGGGATTGCAGCATAGTTATGCCCACTGGGGAGTGTTTCCTCCCCTCCCTCCCTCTGTCTCTCTGTCTCTGCTGAGTGCACACGCCCTCTGACAAATATGGAATGTCATTTATGGAATCCTATACCAAAAGTGAAAAATGCAATGGTTGCATGTGTACTTAAAGTACGGTTTCTACTGAGTGGGAATTGCCTGGGCACCGTGGGAAAGTCGAAAGTCCTAAGTTGAAGCATCAAAATCGGGGCCATCTGTCCAGGTAGTCAGAGGACACCACGTGGCTCAGTTCTGAGTAATATTCTCAGGGTAATAACAGTGGAAAATTCGATTTAACCGAATTAAATTAAATACCAATTTAACCAAGTGACCATGCAATGATTTGCGTGGAGAAAGAAGCACGTGTGTGTCGTGAATGACTCGAGTCAGGTTCTCGGCCTTCACAGTGCGAGCGAAGAGATGGCTTCCCACACGCTCACCCCGCCTCGCACATGGAGGCGCTTGTGAATGTGGCTGAATGAGTGACGCTCTGAGAATGTCACGTCTTCGTTTGTGCATTTACATAGCACTGCGACAGGAAGACGGGGAAAGCAGTATTTAGGATTCTCTGACGTGCTGTGTGTCACGGAGAAACGTCTATGACGAGTCTAAGTAAAGCAGTGAATTGCAGGGACCAGCAGTTGGCGTAATGACTATGTCGGTGGACTCCCATGTAGCCGACCACGGTTCAAGTCCCAGACCTGGTAGCAAGATCTCACGCCAGCAGCATGTGCATGCATGCATGCCCAAGATCCCAAGAGGAAAAAGGAAAAGTGATTGAGGTGTGTCCATCCCTCTGGGGGGTGATTTCTTGCTTTCTGTCTCTCTGTCTTTCTGGCAAGTGCATGCACCCTACAGCAAAAACTTCTCCAAAAAAACAAACAACAACAAATTGGAGAACACTGGCAGTTCCACTCCACATGAATAGTGTGTGTGTGTGTGTGTGTGTGTGTGTGTGTGTCTGTCTGTATTTACAACCATATAGGTTTATAGATGTAGAATAATACACAATGGGGTGCTCCTTAGGGAGTAAGACCGAGAAGGGGGGATGTGTTATACTTGAATGTTGTATTCCTAAGTTTTTATATCAAATATTTGTTATTTTAATAATTAAAAATTAAAGATTATACATGCACACGAAATGATTTGCATCATGTCATGCCCTACTTCGAACCCTCTCATAACTTCTGCTGTCAGTAGGATAAAATCCCAACGCTCAGAGCCAGCCAGTGGCATGGTGGTTAAGGCACTGGACTTCCTCATGGCTGACCACAGTTCAAACCCCAGATCCAGCAGCTTGAAAATCACACTGGGCATATGTGCGTGTGTTCCCAAAATCCCGAGAAGAGAGTGGAGTAGAAGGGATCGTGGCGTGGCGTGGCCATCGGGGTGATGAAAGTCATTTCTCACTTTCCCTTTCTCTGACTCTCTCTGGGAATGCATGTACCCAATGGCAACAACTTAAATTGAAAAAAAAAATCCTCTTGGGACCAGCAGATGGCATAGTGGCTATGTCACTGGACTCCCATATGGTCAACCGTGGTTCACGTCCCGGATCCGGTGGCTTAAACTCACACCGAGCACATGTGTGTACATGCCCAAGATCCCAAGAGGAGAATGGAGGAGAAGGGATTGTGATGTGGCCATCCCCCATGGGGAGTGGTTTCTTGCTTTCTGTCTCTCTGTCTCTCTGTGTCTTTCTGGTGAGTGCACGCGCCCTATAGCAAAAATCTCTCAAACAAAAACAAAAACTAAACAAAAAATCAAAAACCCTCTCACCATGGCCTTTAAGCCCTGTGTGCTCTGCTCCCGCTGACCCCAGAGCTCAGCAGCCTCCCTGCCCGTCTCAGTCCATCTCACTTTCCACTCTTGCCATCCCCTTTACCTGAACAGCCCTCCCCTCCCTACCTCCACAGGAAGGGTTCCTTCTCTGGGTTCAGATTCCACCTCAACTGCCCCCTCCTCAGAGGCCTTCCCTGACCACCCAAATGGGAGTAGCTCCCAGCAAACGCTGCATTGCCCTGCGTTTTGCTGGCCTGATCACCATGCACCTGCTGGGTTGTTCACGCCTCCGTGCTCACCGGGATGCAAGCTCTGGGAGAGCCGGGCATGTCAGGTCTGCTCATCATGGACTCGCGGGGCGTGTGGCAATGCCTGGCCCATCACTTACGATCAGACACTCTTTGATGGGCGGGAAAATGAGGGGATGAATGGGTGGGATGGTAAGTGGTTGGGGGCTGAATGGGTGGGAGGTGAGTGGATAGGTAGGTGGCAGGTCGGCAGTGGAAAATGACCCGGTCAATCACAGAGCCCTGTACTTCCGTCCCTCCCACTGCCTCACAGCCTGTGGCTGGTTTCTTGGGCCCTTCCTCCACCTACGGCGCTGCCTCACTGTGTCATCGCGGCTCTCTGAGGTGCCAGTGTATTCATGCTCAGTTTTAGAGATGAGGAAACAGGTTCAGAGAGGTTGTTACTTGCCCCGAGATTGCCCAGCTGGAGAGTGATGGAGCCAGGGCTGACCCAGGTCCAACGCCAGAGCCTTTTCACTAAGCTTCACTCCCTGACTGTGTGGACGCAGAGGACACGCAGAGCTGGAAGGAGGCTGGAGGGGAGCCTCTCCTCTGAGCAGGTATTACAGAGGGCCAGCACAGACGCCCAGATTGGCAATGACGGGGCCGTGGTGGGGGGCACTGCAGGAGTCTCTGGAGGCGTTGGGGCTTGTGACCGGACAGGGTGACCAGGCACTCAATCAGACGTCAGTCCTGGGCCAGCCAGTGGTACACAGCAACACAAGATACCGTAATGCTGGCCGCGTGGAGAGGCCCCGGCTGGGCCACCCAAGCCTTCCCTTACAAGCCAGGCTCCCATCTGTCTGAAGTTGGGGGTGCACCTCTCTATCTCAAGAAATAAACTAAAGAAAAAAGAAGAGTCATTCCTAGAGCCCCACCCCTGTTATGACCTGGCCTCAAGCCAGGCTTTTGCTGAAGGGCTCGCCCAGGCCACAGGCCCGGCTGATTCCTAGATCCGTGGACAGCACCTTCATCTTACAGGAAGGAAAACCGAGGCTGTGAAGCACACACAGGAAAGGCACCCGAAGCCAAAGGACTGAAAGAGGACAGGGCCAAAGAGAGGGCATCCCTAAGGGAGAAAGGGGCCCAGCTGCACTGAGCTTGCTGGGGCCTGAGCCACCAGGGGGCGCCAGTCCCCAAGGCCAGAGGGACCATCACAGTCCTGGGATTGCTTGGTGGAGGGGTGCGTGTGTGGTCTGAGTCACTCAGTAACGGGCCTCTTAATCCTGGCTGGGAGAGCTGGGGAGTTAGATGAGGGAGGCTTCTTCTCTACGTTGTCTGGATTTTCTTTTTCTTTTTTAAAATTTGATTCATTCATTTATTTTCATTTGACCAGAGAGAGACACAGAGAGAGAAAGGGAAAGTGAGAAAGCAAGGCACCAGGTCCAGGACTCGAACCATGGTCACCCATGTGGGAGTGTCCAGCGCCTTTACCACCACGCCACCTGCCGCCCCCCTCCCTGTTGTCTGGATTTTCTATAGGATTATGGATTATATAGTTACGGATTAGATTTAAAAAGTGAAAGGGTCTTTTAAAACCTTTCTAGCCTTGGGGATGAAAGATGCCTGGCTGATTCCAGATATGGCCTTGCGGTATATCCCCTCCCAGGATGTGGCTTCCAGGTATAGTCTTTATCGTGAGGATTTAATTTTAATTCAATTTAATGTGTGAGACAGTGCGAATGTGTGTGAGAGGAGCACCCTAGAGAGATCTCATCACACCAGTCCTCGTCCCCAGCTCTCCTGCTCCTCAGGATCTTGGACAGCTGCTCACGTGGGCCCCCGGCATGTTTTCAGAGCAACCTGGGGATCTGAACTTGCGTCAGCCGTGTGGCTTCCAGAACTGTCACCCAGTACCTACGGACTGCACCGCCTGGCTGGGCCCGACTATAGTCTTTTTTTTTGTCTTTTGTTTTTTTTGGCTGTAAGGTGCATATGCTCAGGGGTTGGAGGAGAGAGGGAAAGTGAGAAGTCACCCCCCGGGGGATGGCCATGCTGCAGTCCCTTCTCCTCCATTCTCCTATTGGGATTTGAGGCACGCACAAGATGATTTACATCAACCCGGTATTTTTTCTTTTTTTTTGAGAGGTTTTCACTATAGGGCGCGTGCGCTCGCCAGACAGACAGAGAGAGACAGAGAGACAGAAAGCGAGAAATCGCCCCCCAGAGGGGATGGTCACGCCGCAATCCCTTCTCCTCCATTCTCCTCTCGGGATCTTGGGCACGCATGCACACGCACCCGGTGTGAGTTCTAAGCCACCGGGTCCGGGACACAAACCGCAGTCGACTATGTGGGAGTCCAGTGACATAGCCATTACGCTAACTGCTGGCTCCCAACCCGGTATTTTTTCAAGCTGCCAGGTCCAGAACTCAAGCCATGCAGTCGGCCATGTGGGGTCCTGCCGCCTAAACCTCCAGGCCACCTGGCTGGGCTCAGGTGTGGTCTTCAGAAGGTTGCTGGGAGTGAGTTCCAGGTGAAGCTGTTCTCAAGGCCTGGCATCCAGACAGGGGAGCCTTCAATGCAGACTCACCACCTGTGGCATTAGGCTGCAGAATGAAGTGAGGGGTGACCAGCCAGGAGGCAGGGCATTTGCCAGGGATCCCAGCATGCCTCTGTCTGGGGCACAGGCACCATGCTGGCTTGCCCTGGCCAGATGCCCTAGGACAGCCCCCATGAAGACCTGCCCACAAGCTGGACCCCTGACCTTTGGTTCAGGGCTGTCCTCATCAGTAAGCTAGATCCACTTGAGGTGACCTCTACAGGCCCCTGCTCAGTCCCCAGACACCTGTGCCTCTCTCCTCCCTGAACTTGCTCAAGGACAGAGCCTGGGCCTCGGGTGGGCGATTTGGCCTAGACAGAAGGAGCCTGGGGCCCAGGCCA